TGGGCCTGTAGATTGGCAACCAACAGACTGATCAGTCAACCTAAAGACTGATTGACGGACCATCCAATTTCGAAAAGTCAATAACTTGTTAGTTTGCAAGGACAACATAGGTATCTTAACCTTACCGCAGCTTCTTCAACTTTCTTGTCCTCAACTTCTTTGAATTTCGTTCGAACTGGCAACAGCTTCTGTTGAAGTTCTTCAGTGCACAGTTCAAAGACATCAAGAGACATTGGGAACTTCACATCCTGTTTTTAAATTACATAAAAAGTACACAGTAGTCATGGCATGAAAACGATGAAAATAACTCACAAGAATGGCACACAATCAATGAATCTCAGCTCCAGCCAAAGAATGAAAACTCAACATGGATAAAGGATAAATGGACTCGCAAATTTTCCAGAGTCTGTAGAGAGCTACCATAGGTTACCGATAGGTACTAATCAATGCTGAGAGTTTCTGAGAGCTCATGAGAGATGCAAACAAAGTTTTACTTCACCTTGAGAATCTTGGCATTAATTGCATCCTTCTCTTTGAAATAAAACCGGACAAACTGGACAGTGAGGTAGGCAGGGAGTCGACTCAGCTTTGACTGAAAAGAAATAAAGAGCAAAGTTTTGGCCAAATTTCAAAGGAATGAGCTGTCCTCATCCACCATTGATAAAGAATAGTAATTGACCCTTTTAATGTCATGCTGTTCTGATATTTGCTGGAAACATTTTGATATTCTTCGCACTGGAAATGAAGCACAAAACTAAGAAGTGTTCTGGAATTATACTTGAACAAAGTAACAATTAACAGCTTACAGTTTTTGTGTACACTGCATCACGACCAAGTGTTGGTGAGCGTTTTTCAATAGTTTCTTCAAGACGCTAAGCCACAGGAAAAAACATTAAAAAGAAGATTTTAAAACATACATTTGTGATGTGCAAACAACAAGGAAAAAAAATACAACAATGAAGGTATTGTTTACAGGAAGTTACCACTCTCTAACTTTCTTTAACCTTTAACTCCCATGAGTGACCAAGACAGAATTTCTCCTTACAATATCAACACAATGTCATGCAGATAAGTGATGAGAATAAAGAAAATATCAATTTGGGGATAATTAGTTGATCCAATACTTAATTCTCTGACTAACATTATAAGAATTGTATGGTTGACAGTAAGGAGAATGACAAATTTGATCTAGGAGTTAAAGTTAGGAAGAGGATTAAGAAAAACACTTACACTTTTTAGACCAGTATGCATGTATTTCACATCTGAAAACAACAAAAATGTTGTTTAAATTAAAATTGACTCATGTCGAGAATACAAGATTTAAAATTTGCAGTAAAGGCAAAAGTAATCGCAAATTGCATAAAATTTTCTACAGTCTTCCAGTTAATAATGTGGTTCAATGTCTGGATCTGAAAATAACTGCTTTTATTATTTCCTCTGATTTCCTTTTGTTGCTCCATCAACACAAATCCTCTACAGAAATTCCATGCAAACTTGTAATTTCAAAATTTAAGGATTCATAACAACTTGGACATTTCCATTGCAATCAAGCACTGCCAATTTCAGCTTGTTTAGCCCTTTAACTCTCAGAAATGATAAAACATATTACTTTTCCCTCTAACATCCATACATTATCCAGCAAACACATAATGAGAATACTCAAACTTGTCAGGTAGAAGTTCTCCTGATGTAACATCAAATTCTCTTAACTAATTTACAAGGAAATGCAAAACAGCTAAAGGGGAGAATTAACAATCAGATCTTGGGAGTTACGGGGATAGTAGAATACACAATGCAGACAGAGGGGTATCACTTTTCTCTAGCTAAATATCACCCACCTTGTGAAATAAAACAACTCAACTGAAACAGTGTTTCCTTGGATTTTGTCTCTGGCTCCTCTGGTGCTTCATTACACTTCATACTACACCACAGTTAGGGAAAAATGCTGTGTAAAAGTTTCTTTTAACCCTTTACACCCTAACATCAGTATGCATATTCTCTATACAATTTTCTCTACATTCCCTACAGTGCTACAAGGAGTATTTGAATAACAATCAAGGCCTCTTAAATTAGTGATCATTTCCTTTATTCTCATGACCTTAATGTGTGATTCAGGGTGATATTGAAAGGAGAAATTAGACGCTTATCACTCTTAGTGGTCAAAGGATTAACATTCATTGACAACATTGAAGTAAAATTACAGAAAAATCCTTAGTCCCTGAACTCCAAAACAATGATTTTAATAATGTTAATAAAATTTAAAGGATACATTGACTCTGACTCAATGCCTGAAAGAAAAAAATGAAAAGGTAAGGTCAGTATGTAATTACAGTATCACAATCAATTCAAAGAGGAAAATATTCTGGTCACTATCTGATAAGCTGAGTTAAATTAAAAATCTTAGGTAATAGAAAGATTTCTAGTGTGTGGCTATTGGCCATTTTATAACTGTACTTCATAATGAAGGGCTAATGCCCAAAACGTCAGCTTTGAAAATCTTCACAGTGGCCAATTTACTTTTATCAACTCAGTTGTTAAACCAAATTATCTTGTTATACTCCTCCATTGATGCGGCATCACAGTTTCCTTAGAAACTAACCCCCTTCCCCCTCTATTCATTTGCACTCCATAGCAGTTTTTTCCCAATGGTACATTTTGACCAATCCCATTTGTGTGGGGGGGGGGGGGGGGGGGGGGGGGGGGGGAAGAAGGGGAAGCCTATAAAATAAAATTGACATGGCCTAAAGAGTTTAAATCTAAGCTTATGACTCTAGGAAATTTATAGGAGTCTACTAATCTGTCTGTGATACAATACTTGTCAAACAATTCTCTTACCAAAATACTGATCAATAAATCCTTTTGCTGCAGCTGCACTGGCTCCAGAGTCATCTCCATTTTCATCAGGTTTTATGGCTGGTATCTTCTGCTGCAGCATGCGAATTATTTGTGTCCAGCATTCATTTGCATCCTGAAAAGTTTTTTTTTTCAGAAACAAACTCTAAAATTTACTTTTAATTAGTTAATAATTGTTCCAACTTATAATATAAACTCCTTAAGTCTAAAGGGTTAAAAAAAGAACCCACTACATCAGGTTAACTGAAACTTCCCTGTATTGTGACAAGAAAACTTTCCTTTAGCTCAGATTTACCCTCCTAAATTAAAATTTATTTCAAATGCTACACACACAAAAAAAACCCAAAGGTATAGGAACATAACTGATAAATGTATCTCAAGATTAGAAAAATACAGGATTATGGCAAACTCAATGTGAACATTGGTAACCAAATGCTCAAAAAACAACAAGATGTTGTATTTTATAACCTGTTGCGTGTATATTCCTTGTTCAGTTTTCTCTGCAAATTGAGGAAACACACTGTGCAGTATCTGGAAAAAAAAAATGGTTCACAAGTCAACAAGTTATTGACCTTAATCCACTCAACCCTTTAACTGCTCAAAGTGATTAGAATCTAATTTCTCCCTACAGTATCAGCCTTTAATCAATTATAAAGGTCAGGAGAATAAAGTGCATGATCACCAACTAAAGAAGCATTTGATTGTTAAACAAATTCTCCTTGTCAGCACCTTAGGAAATGTATAGAGAACAGTATGGAGAATATGCATACTCAGATTTAAGTGTTAAGGGCTTAGTAAAATTTCACGGCATGTTTTGTAATGGTTTGAGTGCAAGTTGTATGCTAGGCTCCTTGAAATCTGATTATGTTTTCCTTAACCTTTTTAACTTTTATAGTGATCAACATCTAACTTCTCCTTGCAGTAATTACTATTGAACATTCATTATAATCATGAGAATAAAGGGAATGATCACCAACCTAAGAAGTTTTGATTGTAAAACAAATTCTCCTTGTCAGTATTAAAAAAAATGTATGGAGAAGAGTATAGAGAATATAGATACTGAATAGATGTCTGGGTATAAAGAGTTAAAGCTTTCTAAGGCAATGTAAAACACAAAACAAAGTAGTTCAATCTGTTTTCAAGTTCATAGTCAAGACAGGTAAGACCTACCTGTAGAAAAATAATTGGCGGCATAGAATCTGGTGTTTTGTCCATAATCCTGTAAAGATCTCTGAGTGCCACTGTAATGGAGTGTGCAGAATCTCTTGGGTTCCCACTGATATTATATCTGATACAAAATCATAACAAGAATGTGTCAATGTGTAAGAAAAAACTTTAAATTTGTGTTCATATGGAATTTATCAGAAAAAGAAATATTGTAAAAAGAAACTATTAAAATACCTTCTCCTTATTCCTTCCACTCCAAGGATCTCATTTGTAGTTCTCCTTACTGTCTGCCATACAATTCTCATCACAATAGTTTGGAGAATTTGGTATTCGATCAACTAATAGTCCCCAAATCGATAATTTTCTTTATTCTCATTACTAGTCTGCTTGACATAGTATTATAATGTAAGGAGAAACTCTGTCTTGGTCACTCATGGGAGTTAAAGGGTTAAAGATAAAATAATAATGACACTGAATGTTTGAAGCACGATTTGCGTTGCAACATTGAACATTTCATAATTTTCATTCAAAGGTAAAATGAATAGCCTCAAGCTTTAACCCTTAAACTCTCATAAGTGATCAAGATAGAGTTTCTCTCTACAATTTCAATACAATATCAAGCAAACAAGTCATGAGAATGAAGAAAAATATAGAGAAGAGGATTATTAGTTGATCCAATACCAATTTCTCCAAACTAACACCATAAGAATTTTATAGAAGACATAAAGGATAATTACTTAATAAAAGATCTTGGGAGTGAAAGGATAAACACAACCTGGGAAATTTTTTTTTTACCAAGCATAATTTCCATGGCTTACTTTGCAAGGGCATCCTTCAGCTCTGGAACATTACGAAGGCACTGCACAGTAGCATTCATGTAACAAGTGTTGCCAAGGTTTTGTAGTCCAGTAGGCATTTCATACTAAGGAGAGGTAGAACCATAACATGAGACCACAGCAAATAGTTTCAGATGGAAGTGAAATTTCAAACAGGGTTTAAAGTAAATTGATAATTAATATTAAGAATCCACTCTTACTGCTGATGCCAGCTGTGCTTCGGTCATGTCTTCAACAAAAAGAGTCTTCTGTTCAGGAGCTTGTGGCAGTTCTCCCACAGATCCCATCATTAGCAAAGTAATTCCCTAAAATAAGACCAAAAATATAACCTAAAGGCAACAATACATGGAGACCAGACAAAAGCTTTTCATTAACCTGTTAACTCCCAGATCTAAATGGTAATTCTGCTTAACTACCTGCCATAAAATGTTCATGTCAGTTTGGAGAATTTGGTATTGGATTAACTAATAATCCCCTTACTGACATTTTTCTTTATTCTCATCACATTTGTTCTTGAGTATTTTTCCTTTTCATAAATTCATTTCTTGAATTAATTATCTTTAGTGTATTTATATTAGTTCATAGGTGATCTGTTTTTATATGGGATTTCAAACTCCTTTGCAGATTATCCTTCGGCCTTTTTGACCATAGATTGTAATAAATAAATAAAACTATGCTTGTACTTAGACTTTGTACTGATCTTGTAAGTGTGAATTGAACTTATTCAGTACCAAAAGGTGTTGTTACATCATGCAAAACTTAAATTTTTTAAGGAGGCAAAGTACTGTTTTTGAGCAATGTGGCATTTGATCAGGAAATGCCAGCCAGTGGTCCCTTAACTAATAGCTTTAAGTACTCTGCTCTTATCATTTACTTACATTTTTAAGCTTGAAGTTTCCCCAGTCATTATCCTAAATTAAAGAAGAAATTTTTTTCAAACATGAGTATAACCCTGAAACTAAGAGACCTCATGAGAAGCTCCTTCACATTATGACCTCAGTTTAGCAATGGTGTTACCTGCCTGAACAGGTTTACCTTAATATCAAGTCATGTGACACCATTTTGTTTTACCTCTTTGAACAAAATAATCACCTTGTTCAGCATATAAAGTCTTTTGTAAAGTTTAAATTATCATGTGGAAGAGGTTCAGAGCCATCTTAAATATTTTGAAAATGTCCTGAAACCCCAGCACTCTGTGAAACATAACTAATATACTACAAATTAAGCATTTTTTTGTTTGAATTGACAGTCCTGATGAAAGTTCATAACATTTCTTGTTCAAAGTAATTTTTTATCCCATCACTACTATGAAACCCTTATGTCTAAATAACCACTTTGCTGTGGGATGCCTACGGATTTCTGATCTACGGTTTGTTGCCAGAAGTTTCTAAGGTTAAAAACTTGGATCGACAATCTAAAAGGAAATGAAATCTTTTATAGCTACAGAATGTTACACTTTTCCATTTTGACGAGCTCGACAGGTAGATACAGGACAAACGGAAGTATTGTAAACTCAAAATCAATTATCATCATAATGATACTGTGAAAAATAACAGATTTAAGTGTAACACCCGGCGTCAATGTGTCATAAGATAATTCAATCACGTGGTAATTAATCTAGACATGGACAGGAATTGTCAAATCCCTAAATAGTTTTGCAATTCAAAGAGGATGCATTGTAACTGCTCTGTTAATGAATCGAGCGATCAATGTACCTTAACTACGGATCCCTTGAACATGACTTTTTGTCTTTCAGGCGCCACTCCTGATAAAGCGAAAAGTTGAGCTTTGAAGAGCTCCGGAGACTCATCGCTGTTCAACTCGATGTTATCAAACTTCTCACGACCCCACTTTACAGACACTAGTTTAAGAGAATGAAGAAAGGAAATTACATCAATTACACAATATTTAGATAAAATTCAAATATGGCACGAAGGTGGAATTACATACCTGTGAAAACCGGCATTTTATACAGATTTTTGAGCAGAAATAGTTGGGTGAATTTTGTTTTCTTGTGCAAGTTTTAACTAATTTAAAGTTATCCGCTGACCAACTAGAGCTCAGGTCTCTTAACTAGAAAATCGTTCCCAGGGTGGGGTGAGTTGAGATAACATTATTTCCCAAAGTACCAGAGTGATGGGATTATAGGCAAGATCTTATTCACCCGAACAGAAACAACTTAAAGTTGATGTCCTTATTTCGTCCAATTCAGAGACGTTAATTTTTTTCGTTACTCGTAACCCAACAATCATGGATTCTACAAGAACCTAGAAAAACACTGAAAAACTTAAGGAAAAAACAGTAGAAAATCTTGATAAAAAATTGATATGTTACAATAATTGGTTATCAGATGTTCATCCTCTGTAACTGCGATTTGGCTGCCCCCCCCCCCACTCTTTGGCTCCGCGGGGGCTCTGCCCTCCTGCTTTGCCGACGATGAAATACTTACTTCCTCTGAGTAATCTCTTCAATTCATTCTCAGCCAGCACTTTGTGCATGAGTTACAAATCTATATGAAATAAATCAATTTCCCTGAAAACGGATTTTTTTAATCAACCCATCTATGCGCCTAAAAGCTAGTTATTTACGCCCGAAAAAAGAAAAAAAACTTCAAACTTTTCCTTTGCGTGCCATTTCTGGAAAGAAAAAAAAAACCTTCAAGTAATAACTCTTTTGGAACAAAAGGCAACGTTATGATCACACGGGAAAATAATTTATTTATTCAGCTGTGGTTTTTGTTCTTGTCGAATTTGTTTTTGTTCTTGTACAATTTGTTTTGATCTGGTTTCAAGATGTTTATGATGAAATTTTTGTGTAAATGGAAATGCTAAGGCTGTCGCAGTTGTGCTACGGTAAAGTTCTGCAGAGTGCTAGTATTTCCGTGGAATCCTTGAGAAAGTGCTGATTAATTTTATCATCAAAAAGTTAGTTAGTTTAGTCCCCAAAACAAGACTGCAAGCGCTGAGCAAAAACTGACTGGACTTTGGATCAGTTGGCACAGACAACAAAACGCATGGAGAAAAAATAGAATTTCGTTTTCAAGAAGGTCAGTTTAAAGCTTGTACCACACCCTTTGAGAACTTTATTTCGATAGATAGATCAAGTTCTTGAGCTTTATTTTTAACCGGATGCGTCAGAAAACTATAGAGTGCTATCAGTTATTTCTACTTATTCGTTTCAGATCATCAAAATTATTGGAGATGGTTTCATGATTACGTCATAAGCACAAAAAATATAAGTAAGAGCTCACGTACGAGAGAGCCAAAATTTAATGGATGAGTGAAAAAAACTGAGATAAATTTTGAATCAACAGAATTAAGCAAAAGATGGTTAACTGTTTTTAAATACTTCTGTACTTCAAGGGCCACATCATGGAGAGTCGAAGACGTCTGTTTTTTGTACCGATCATTTTTACGTTCGTAACGCTGTCAGCGGCGGTACAGAATCCTGTACCAATATTCATTTCGGAAGTAGGTAGGTTCAAGATAATATAACCAGCAGCTTATAATCTCCCGGTAGGTTATAAAGTATTAAGTTACAGTTTTGTGGCAGAAGTTTGGCATGCTTTTTTCAATACCTTGTATGAAAAGTTAACAAAGGTTTCAGGGATAGAATACAAGAAAACCTGACGAAAAAGTTCGGGGGAACAATGAGTCTTTGAGAGAATCGTCTGGGTACAGTTCCCGGGATTCTACGGAATACTTTTTATCACACTTTGATTTAAGGAAGAAGATTGGAAATTTTTAGAAGGCATGAGGTACTTTCGCGAGTTAGGAGACATTGAAAGTACCTAAAGGAGGATTTTGATTGTGGTTGTGTCACAATAGAATTGACG